TCTTGCTATATTGTAACAATCACTGTTTTCATCTGCAAACTAAAATTCAGAATTCCTGACCAGTGTTTGAGGACACTTCCAGAGTTCATAGGTAATGTTTCAGACCCTAGGATTTGTCCGAGTTGTTTTTTTTCTGTTGTTGTACTAACTTCACCAGAGGTAGGGCTGAATATTAACTTTTGGTTGCCCCTGGAGAGTCTCCATTCCATCCAGTATTAGGTGCCTAACACAGGTGCTCTGCACCGCTCTGTGGCTGGTCCAGTCTTTATCTTTAGAGGGTACACAGAAAACCAGCCTGCTGTCTGTTTCCTATGGAGGAGGATCAGCTTGCCTAAACTGCACTGTTAGCCATGCAACGAAATAGTTTCCCTAAATGGCACATTTCGTGAAGGTGGCAACTTTGACGACCATTAGGAGCTCTTCTCTCTTAAGTTAAGGTTCCTTAATTAAGGTGGGGCAGATTTCCACCTATAAGATCTTCAGTTATATTCATTTACAGAAAAGCATGTTTGTCTTTTGCTGGGAAACTTGTCCTGGTACCGCTGCCTGAAGAGAATCAACAGCAGTTCCAGCTTTACTTTCCATGCAGATGAGTTCAGGAGCTCAGCTGCTGACAATCATTCCCAAGTAAGCCCCCCATAGTACCTTATCATGTGTGTAAAAGTATAGATAAGTTACAGTAAGGGACAGGTAGAAGTGCTCACCCTGATTGATGGTACTCAATGACAGCAGAGTAGTAGGACCAGCTAAGGCATTTTCTAACGTAGGAAAATATGCTCCAGCCACTCTGTCATCTGACAAGCTGCTGCTGGTGTACTGATGGATGAACTATTATATGCTGTATTCTTGTACAGAAGCTTTTAGGAGCCAGGCTGCTATTACATTGGATTATACTCGCTGAAGCTGAAGTGTCTGTGAGGACACTCTTACCTTGACTTTTTCTTTATGAAAATAAAGGTCATATTAACATGATCACATGGAAAGAGTTGAGCTTAGAATTTTAGCTTACTGTCATTTGAAACATTGCTTACAAAAAGCAGAGTACTATAAAGCCTAGTTGTGATTCTTCTAACTGCGTGGTTGTACGTGTTTTTGTGACCTTCACCACATCTCACTCTGTTCTGTACAAAGACAGGCAACAATTTTCTGCTAAACTTCTGTGTTTGATGTCCTAAAATACATATCATTGAGAATTTTCTTGAGATCTTTACTTCAGTCTTCCTTGTTTTTCAAAGGAAACTGAAACAAAAACCATATGCTGTGCTTCTTTATTTAGAAAAGTAGGCACCAGTATCAGTAAAAGTTTCTGCAATTTTGAAAATTTTTTTGAAAAAACCACTGAGACAGTGAAAGCCATGAACAATCCTGTCCAATATATGACATGAACTGTAAATAATGCCTTTAATTCTAAAGCATGTATGAATACTGGGACAAAGCGTTGGTCTTGCACCTCTTAAAGCAAAGCACTTCTTTAAAACCGAATTTCACAAAAATTGCCATAAATGAAATTTCATTTTTTTTCCTTATCATCACTTCTCTGTCAAAAGTGACCCATTCTGAAGCAAAATGCTTTTCTCAAGCTACCAAAGCAATGCCACCCAGTGCTGAGAATCACCCATGAGCTGCAGGGAAGGTGTCCTCCTTGCCTTCAGACATGTCTCCAGGCTTATTGAAGTTATCAGTGTTGTTAGAGATGCAAGCTAATGGAACATAAATTATAAGAACACTTTTTTAATCACTGTAAAAATATGATTCTAAATACCTACAGGAGTTCTGTCTTGCTAAATAAGATAAAGCCACTTTTACATAATCACTAACCAGAGAAAAATGACTGAAGTGCCTCAAGCACTCAGCTAACAGGGTCTTTGGGGTAAAGGGGCCTTTTAGCACTTCCCTTTGGTTTAGAAGATGAAAAACACTGCAGATTTAAGGAGCAGCGTCAGCTCTCCTGCTCTCCTGCTCTGTTCGTCACAATAATATCTAACCTTCGGAAACCAATAACAGATTTATTCTGATAATACCCATGTATTGTCTGGAGAGTTGAGGTCAAGAAAGGTGAAGCTCAGAGCAAAAACCAAGTGTGTGGTGAAGGCTATGACAGAAGGCAGCCCAACTGTGGCCTCGCCGGTGCTTTAGGTACAGGATTGCTCTTGCTCTTTGAGTGCCCATGCTCTCTCTTGTAGTACAGTAAAAACAAGTATTCATTAAATAATTTAAAGAACTAGTCAAAGATCCATGCAAAAAGAAATTGACCTTTTTTCCTTTCCTTATAGTATTCTACTTGCTGTAGCATTCTTTGGCCAAATCACAGTTTTGTAGACATAAGTAACTGCTGTGCGATAGGTTCTGTACAACTATTGAAAATGCAGCCACACAAGCAAAGTCTTCTAGAATCAAAAACGATCTGAACTAAATTAAGGAGTCCTAACTCCTTAAAAACCAATACTCAGATACAAAACTCATTTAGCAATGCCCTTGCAAGTGAAACTTGACTATTTCCATTAAGTGTCTTCCCTAATACATTCTTCTCTCCTCATACACTTTTCATCAAAAAACACACCACAGTTGGAGTAGAAAGTGAGTTTCAAATCTGTAGAGTATGTCTCAATTAAAAGATGGATTAGCTGAGCTCACCCACCCCCAGGCTGGAGCTGCTGAAACTCTGACCACTGAGAGGCCAAGGTGCCCCTTGCCCCATGCTGGGGAGCTCCCTCCCACTAAGAGCACTCCCGAAATCCCACACCCAGATACCCCATCATTACCGGGACTGGCAGCTGCTGACAGCACAGCAACTTCCCTGATAGGATTAAATGACTGCTGGAGAATAAACTGGGGCACCACGGTCATTTCCTAGCACCTGTACCAAATCTGAACATCACACAAGTGGTCCCCGGCAGAGCCTGACCGAAGGTCTCTGCAGCTCATGCTGGGTCTTCAGCAGTGGCAACAGGAGATGTTGTTTGGGGAGGGCACTTAGCCTGGGCCATTTCTGAAATCTCTGCTTTGTACTCCACCAGCATTCACAATTGTTGCACTAGGGAATGCTAGGGACTTCATGTCTTCTGGGTCCTTTTTGTGTCTATTTATGAATCTGCTGTGCATTAATTCCTATAGAAACACTGTTTTGTCCCTGCAATTACTGTCACCTTCAGGCTGCAGGTTACAGAAGTTTCTTACCTTCTGTGTAAAGGATTACCTTTTAAAGTCAGTGTCCCTCAGCTCTTGTATTGCAGGATTTGGGTAAGCTCTTGTCCTGCATTCAGCTTATTTACCAATGTTGCGATTTTACACAACCTAAACACTCCCTGCCTTTCCCTCCCAGCTAAGCAGCACTAGCATTTTTGATCTCTGTTTGTAAGTCACTGGTGAATACTGAACAAAACTGGTTTCAGCACCAATGCCTAGGTGATCCGAACAGTGACTCTTCCCCACTCTGAAAAGAGATGGTTACATCCTACCCATTCCTTGCTAGCCTTTATCAGCTTTCAGTTCATAAAAGAAACTTTCTTCAAGTTCCCTGTCAACTTAGTTGGCTTTTTTGAAAGTCCAGATAAGTTGCGTCCTCTGGTTCCCCTTCATACAGTTGCTTACTTGCACCATCATACAGCAGGTTCGTGAAGCAGGAGTCCCTGACTTGGATGATGATTAGTCATCTTCATTATAGATGCTGTTATCTTACCAGGAATGGAAGCCATGTCCATCAGACTGTAGTTTCTATGATGCATTTTGTAGGTCAGAAGAGGAAAGAGTCAAGCATGCTAGCCCAAAACCACAGCAAAAATGCACTGAAATTGTAGTTCTCCACATATTTCTGTCATGGAGCTGACTCCTTGCTGCCTGTATCCTTGCATAGCCATTTGCATCTGTACTGTATCAATACAAAGTGGTGTAATTGGAGAGTTCTGATCCAGGGATATTGCAAAACTCCTTGCACAGTTGCAAGAAAAAAAAGCACTTCTGCACCCTTCCTATGCTTTTAAAGTAATTCAGCAGTACTGCTAGAATTTGGACAGTTGTAGTTTTCTCATGACAACTTCTGATTTTTCTGATGTGGAAAGCAGGACAGGAGCCTGCAGGAGTCCTGCAGCATGCAGGATCACTGTTTCTGCAGTCTGCATCAGTCACCCACCGCCTCACTACATGCCTAGGGGAAAGCCCACATATTTTTGAACAAATATTCTGTATGCATTACCACAGCTTGATTTACCTCCATGGAGTCCCAACAATATCAGCTGGTGGTCAATTTACCTCTGCATGAGGAAGCATATTTCCTCAAAAACATGGAGGAACCATGGAGATGAAACTTGCTTATAAAGTAAGTGACATTTTGCACAGTTTCTCTGTATTTGATAGATGGGCCACTTATAGAAGACTCCTGCTTCTTCCCTCTATTAAGTGGACCTCCTTTAAGGTTGAGAACAAGGTGTGGTGATAACAAATCGCTTCATGCTGTAACACTTTTCATCTCAGGTGAAAAACATCAGAGCCACTGGTGTATTAGCCACCGTTTGCTTGAAGATTCCCCTGATACTCTTTTTCCAGTAATCAAGTCCAAGGAGCAGCCTTGCTGAAACCTGTATCTAGGCTGAAATCTGTTGATAATATTTACCAGCAGATATTTTTCATAATGTTTTGGTGTCAGTAAAAGGAATTTTTTTCCTACTGGCACATGCAATTCAAAACAGAGCTGCCGGGTACACCCAAGTACCTCTGAGATCACTGACAACAGGCAGTGCTGCTTCTCTCACGCACCTGGCAGGCAGATCTGTTTTGTCCCATACCGCACCTTGCCAACACTTGCTGGCTGGCCAGTGTAATAATTTATAACATTTTTATTTGTAGTGGTGTTAGCTGGTTTGGCTTCATCTGTCAATGCCTTGAAGGGTCGGGGTCTGCATCAGCCTCTATTGTGCTTGGCCGGGTCCTCAACTAAACAATTTATTTCTGAATTGGGCAGCACCTCTGTTTAACTTTCACCACTCATTCTCTTTGCTCTGAAGGGCTGCCAGAGAAACACAACAGGAGAGCACTGTGAGCAGTGTCCAGATGGCTTCATTGGCGATGTTGTCGGAGGAGTGCCCACGTTCTGCCAGCCCTGCCCCTGCCCCCTGCCAGCACTCGCCAAGTACGTAAGGAGTCTTTTTGTTTCTTTTTGATTTGGGCTGGCCCTTTCCAAGGTGAGGTCAGCATCCCTTCCTGGATGCAGGTGACAAAGGCTGCTGCTCTTGCCAACTGGGGGAAAATAAGAGGACTACCAGCTGCTCACATTTATAACCACAGGAAGGCATAAAATATCCTTAAGAGCCCATATTAATACCGACCAAGAGGGAAAAGAAAACATTTGAGCAAATTCAAGTTCACTTTCTTTTATGTAGGCAAGATTACTCAGCTGTCTGGTTACTTTTAAGAATCTCTTAAAGACCATTTCCCAAGGGAGGCGGCATCAGGGATGTATGTGGCTGAGACAGACAGACACACAAAGATCAATCCATGACCTCTGGAGGGTAAAGCCAAACCCAAAAAGCATAGCCTGGCAGTCTCCTGAGCAAACAGCGGCTGGATGTGGTTCATATAGGAACAGCTAAAAGGAAAGGACTATGACAGCTACAGCGCCCTACAGCTGATGTCCAGCTACCTTTGGGTAAGAAACTGAAGCCTGACAGAAAAGCAAGCCCAAGCCAAGAGCTCCAGCTGAAGGCACTTTTGTGCCTTCAGAAGAAACAAATACCTACAAACCATAACTAGCAATTAGAACTGCTAGTGGTACATTAGTAACATGGATTAAAGAAATTATCAGCTTCCTTTTGCATGAGGTCCATTCTCTAATAGAGAGGCAGCTATGCAAATCCCACTACAGTGCATAGAGGACATGCTAGTAAATACTTGCCAATGGGTCTAAGCTATTTTTTAGTGAGATACCTGCTCCCCTTGTGCTATTCCCCATTTGGCTTTCAGCTGGACTTCTCAGCAAAGGGGAACTTCCTCACTGTATTTCTTTGCTGTTACTACAGGATTACTCAAACAGCCTGAAGGTGGGAAGAGCTAAATTTTGCTCAGCTGCTCAGTGGCACAGGCTCAAAATGGCAATGGAGCAAAATGGCTCCTGCCAAACTCCCACAGATCACCTCTTGGCTTTCACAGTGAGCTGCAGACACATGAGGAGGGCCGTGGGGTGGAGAACAGCTATTGTTGAAAAACTGCAGCTTTGCCTGGATTAGAGAGAAAATCCTCTGGAGGCAGGGGAAGAACCTGGCTTTGCTCACATTTAAAAAGATAAGATTCACACTTAGGAGTGAATGAGCTCACAGACAAAGCAGACCGCTTCCTCCAGTTTCAGTGGAGGCTGTAATCCCAGAAGTAGTACAAATAAAACAGTTGGAAGCAGTGCCCAATGAGCCAGCCCACCAACCCAGCAGGACTTGGTGCGGTGGGACCAGCAGGGACTTGAGCTGCAGGCTGTCTCTGCCAGTGCAATGGGAGATGGGCACAGAGGACAAGGAGCCTGCTTCAACATGCTCCTTAGCCTTTCTGCTAGGGACAGGCTTTTCTCCTGTTTCAGACCACTAAAGACAAGGAAGCCTCAAATCCAAAAGGACAGCAGTGTGGGATTGGGAAGGAAGAACAAAAATTGCAAGGAGCCAGAATGCAGATGCATCAACTTTAGCAGTGATGCAGGAGTTGGGCTTGATGATCCTCATGGGTCCCTTCCATCCCAGGATATTCTATATCCTGTAATATGTCACCCCTTTAAAACCGTCTCAGTAAAAATCCATTTCAGTTTTTCAGGATTTTCCCTAAGAAAAGTCCTGAAGGCAATAGTCAAAGGAGTATCTGATCCCAGTTTGTCTCATACCCATTTTTAAATAACATGCAGAAATTGCCTGTTCAGCTTCTTCCATGAGAAAGATCTGACCACAGGAACAGCCTTCAGCTGGGGCTGGAACAGGCAAATAATAATGATTGAGCAACATTCAGCCTTGCATAACTAAATTCAAAGAAAAAACATTCTTCTTTTTTTTTTTTTCAATTTTTTCTCCATTAATCCTACTCAATTTATATTAAGGCAAAACAGTAACTACCAGAAAGCAGAGAAGCACTAAAAGCCTTAAATAAAGAACACTCAAAGGATGCTGTTTTGTACTTTGTTTTACTTTGGAAATAACCAGCAAATTAATTGTAGCCAGCCAAAGTGACCAAATCTGTAAACTGACAGACCAATCAGACTATACATATTTTTTCTTGGGATTCATCAGTGTGTCTCTAGATTTTTTGGCCAGACTATTTTCCTATCTGCTACCCTGGGAATTTTTGGAATTACTTCTGGACATTACACATGAAGGGTAATGTCATCTCTTTGGAATAAAAAAAAGGAGGAGAGAGATTGCCTCACAGTCCGGCAGATGTTTCTTCTTTTCAAACCTGAGGGAATTTTATGAACTTTTTTCCCTAAAAGATCACAAAAAATATAAAACTTGAGGAATGCTATAGTCTTATTTCATAACTTAAACCCACAATGTGGTTTTTTCAATTAAGTCAAGGAATTAGCCTCTGTAAAAGAAGAGGAATGTTGCCAAACTGTTATGATTTTTCTTGAATTGTTCTCAAAAAAGCTTTACTGAAGTTAATTTGTGAATTCTGTGAGAAGAATGTCATTTTTTGTACTCTCTGGTTATATGAAATGTTTTGAGACAGCAGAGATCCGGGCAGATTTATCTGACCCTGAGAAATGCTGGTGAGAACTGGAATTTTGCAGGAATTCTTGCCACCTTTCAACAGTGCTGGGTCCTGGAACAAGCAGTGCATGGACCATGCTCTTTTCCATCACTCTGAGTCTTTTGTCCTTGGGTGCAGAAGGAATGTAACCAGGCCACAGCTGCCCAGCACTGTGCAACTCAGGACCTGCATTTCAGCAACCATAAGAGCCTGCAGCTGACAACTGCTGCCATTCACTGCTCTGGTCGCATTCCAGTGCTGGCAGGAATTTACTCACACGTATTGCAAACTAACTGGAAACATCTTTAGGACTGTATGTCTTTTTCCTGCAAATGTATTTCAGCCATGTCCGTCACTGTGTTTGAAGTTCATACTATTTACATTTTCCACATCTGGCTGCTGCTGTTCCTTGTGTCTCATATTTAATTAAACATTTGTTAAATCCTGAAAACATAAGAAAGCAAAAGAATACATGATTCAGAATCATGGCAGTGAAAATTACAGCCCAAGCCATTACTGTGATCAGTATCATAACTTGGCATGTGGTCTCAGAAGAGGCTCCAGACTCTTTCCAGCTTACACAGAGGGATGGTAGAGCAGCCTTAGTTACTGTCAATGAGGACAGCATCACTGAGGTTGGTTTTCATCACTCAGTACTTCCAGTGCAGCAGTGGGTTTGCTGCACCTATTCCAGAACCTCAATTCCTGAAGTACCCACTGTGGTGTCTTTCATAAGCAATACTGTAGCCCTTAGAATAAGAGACAGGAAGCAATTAGGTTCACATGACATACACATTTATCCCAAGTCCCTTATCTAAAATGTGTGTTTCAAAACATGCAGATGTGTCTGATCTATACTGCAAGACAAGAACTTACATATCTTTGTATGTATATAGCTCCAGATCTTGAAAACACCAATTCAGCAATGAGTAACCAAGAGCCAGAGCTCACACCGACAGCAAATGCCTATAATGTGATAAAGAAATACTCCCAAGTGTTTGTCATTGCCTGTTATTCTAACTTTTCATTCTAATGAAATTCCAGCTTTGCAGTGTCCTGTTACAGAAAAAGTGGAAGCGTGCGCTGTGTCTGTAAGGAAAACTATGCAGGACCCAACTGTGAAAGGTAAGAAAGTAATGAGATGACACTGGTCAACGATACTGAAGCCCAGAAGTCTTTGAGGGAATCTTCCCATACAGGGGAGAAATCTTGTCCATGTGTTTTCATTAGGTTGAATCATGTCTGCTAAAGCATCTCATTCAGTTCCTACTAAAAACCGTAAGAACTTGCTGTGGACTCCTGTCAGGGTAAGACAGACATTTACACCTGATGTATTTTGACCAAGTTCTTGCACCTTGTGTACCTTAATGTGGCGATCTTCCTAAAAGGAATACAATTTACAAATCAAAACACAAACTACAAATCAGAAACATCAGCTGAAATGAAAAATAACCATCACATAGATGTCTTTTGCAATTCCCCACTCTAAAAAATATAGCAGGCTTCTACCAAATAAATTTTTCAAAAGCAAAGGAGAAAAGCCATAATCTAGACAAATTCTTAATAAGCAAATGCTGCTTTTTAAGTTAAATTTTAAATGTACTTCACAGATATAATTCAATAAAGTCAAGTAAACAACCATAGGTCAGTGTTGCTTTTCAACTTTCCTTTGTGCCCATAAATTTCCAGTAAATATCTTCTAAATAATGAAGTACACACATAAATGGAGCTATAAAGCAGAAATACAACTTACTCTCCGATCTTGTAAAGGGCCATGCACACATGGATGATGTTTCAATGAATGTCAGAGGCCTGGTTATAATTCGGAAATCCTCCTTGAGTAGCCAACAAATTAAAACAGCTCTAAAACAAAGACCGAGGGATATAGGATGGCTCAGACACTGGCTTCATGAACAACACATTTTGTTTTTCTTTAAAGCCTCTGAAGTATTTAAGACTTCAGTCCGCTGTAATTAATGGGCAAGTCTTGAATTCAAATTATACTTAACATAACTGTCAGAGAAGGGAGAAAGGGGATGCTTAAGATGTGAAGAGAAATCAGTATGAAAAAGGTAAAATGAAAATAAATTAAGGTTTTGCTGATGCAAAAACATCAGCATATCACCTCCACATCACTAACATGGTGACAGCAGTAGTGAAAGCCCTTCAGACAGATGGCACAAAAACCTCAAAACCCCCACTCTTTTTTCCAGGCCTATGGCTGTATTCTTTTGTTCTTCCAAAATGTCAGATTTATACACAAAGGATAATGCAGACAATTAAAAGGTCAGTGGGGTTTCTTAATGGTTATCAAACTATCAACCTAGACTACAAGCAATTCAAATCCTATGAAATGAGTAGTAGATGCATAGTAACATCAGCAAATAGCATCAGCTTTGTTTTCTAATAGCCACTACTCAGCCTGACACACTGCATCTGTCTCAAGGAAGGCAAAGCTGTGCAGATGGGTTAGAAAAAGCTACAGAAAGAAATTGGCTTGTCCTGGTGACCCACTGCTAAATCCTTGACTGACTGCTGGGGTACATGGCAAACAGTGGCAAACAGGACTCTTCTTCGAGTAGGCTCCAGACCCTACTCCCATTTGTGTTAGAAGCAACGAAAAGCATTTCAAGGGCTAATGAGAAATGCATTGCTTGTCTCTGCCAACTTGCTAAAGAACAAGTCCCTGCTCCGCAGACGCTGCTGCTGGGCACTGACACCACTCCCTGCTGCCACCAGCAGCTCTTGCACCATCAACATGCTGCCAGGAGGGCTGGGGGATCCTGAGCAAGAAGGGGCATTGCCCCATACCTCCCGGCAACCCAAAGAGCAGCTCACATCCCCAGAGAAAGGTCATGTCCTGCTTGCCGCTCTCTCTCCCAGCTCTCCGCAGCAGTGGGTGACGGATGCCACAGGGCAGTGAGGCGCAGGACACCCTCCATGGACAGCATGTGGGGTCTCCAGAGCAGCGCACCAGGAGGCAATCTACTCCATTTACTCTGGCATCCTTGTGGGAGGCTTTCATGTGCTGCTCCAGGGGCTTGGCACAAACCTATCCAGTTTATGATTGCCAGCAAATGGTGGTGTAAAATCACAGAGGCCTTTGCTAGGAACTGAGAAAAACCAGCTTCCCAATTCAAAATTGAGGAATGAATAATTTTGCTCCTGGCTTTCAGCAATAAGGCAATAAGGTGGCAGTGGATAAAATCCAGGTTTTGTTAATGCCCAAATGTTAAAAAAGATAACTGAACAAATGATACTTTAATAGCCCAAGTGAACAGACAAAAAAGGTTCTTTTGGCTTTGCCAGGAAAGAGGAAGTTAAGTCTTACCAATAATTACAGGAAGAAAACATGGCTGCAAAATAAAACAAAAGATAACTTAGCAGCTTTATTATGGGAGAGGAAATATTCTCTGTTAGCAACAAAGAGACATTTATTGATACAACAGAGGAAAAGACATTTACTGCAGGGTTCTACTTTTTCAGGCCATAAAGTGCAGTGATGCAGCAGTAGGTTTCCATCCAGTGGCTTCTGCTCTTCTCACGTGCTACCAGTCCAAGTGTAGTTCAGCCCTATGAGATGCACTGAGTGGCAAAGGGAAGGGGAAAGTGAAGGTGACACATTTATTTTCAGCTCTAAAAGTTTCTGTTTTAGACACCTACTCCAGATGAGGAGATACGGTTAATAAAAATTAATCAGGTGGTCATAAAAAGCAGCACTTACAAAATATGTCTGTAAGGATGAGAACTGTCCACTACGTTTCTGGCAAGCGAACAGAAAAGAAAAATAAAACACCTTGTCCTGATGAGAGGGCAGATACTGTGGGCGTGATAGGAATAGCATGCTGTTTTTGATAGATGTTGGCTGAAAACCAGAGCTGGGCAGCAGTAAGCAGAACTCTGGTCTGGCCTCAGCATCACTCAGTGGCTTTCGTGACTTGGTGGCTAGACTAGACAGACAATAATTTGGAAAATATCTAACTACAGAAGATTAAAAAGCAACTCTGCAAGATTCTGAGAGTTCAGAATAAATCAAATAGTTCTACAGATTTATTTTTTTTTTAAAAAAAAGGGGGATTTTTCTTGTTTAAACTTCATAAACATATTGAAATCCTGAAATTTGGGAAAATACTACAATCTCACATTGGCTAAAATATTAGAAAACTATAGCAATAATTTTGGCAAGACTGAGTAGTAGCATTACCCATCACTGCCTGCTCTAACTCCCATGGGAATGCAGAGTGACTCCACCAAAGTCAGTTAAATCACGCTGTGCCCAGTATCACATCCACAGTTCTTCTAAGGGCTTACAAAACTCCAGACCACATTTTTCTTCTTTACATCTGGGTCACCCAAATGATAAGATCTGCACCAAAGATTCTGGCAGTGCTGCAAAGACACAGAGTCTTTGTCATTGGGAAAAGCAGTATTTGAGGCAGCCAAGTGGTTTCTATTAACATGCTTAAAATTTTATGTGTTTTTACTGTGAGGGCTCAGGATTGGAACATGAACAAAGCAGTGCTGAGGAAAATACTTTCTTTATTAAAAATAAAATCAGCAAATGTAGGAACAGATCAAAACGGAAAGCTCTTATCAGATCTCCCACATTTTCATCATTCAGACATAGCAGAACCTGAATTTGACTCTGTTCAGATTTTAGGAGACAAGAAGACTTCAGCTAAGGTTCTCAGCCACAGCCTGGGAAAATTAAACTAAACTGCCTGAGGACTCACCCTCACTGCCCACAAACAGCAGAACAAACAGCATCTTAAAATAGGCTTTTATGGATGGGGGGAAAGACAAGCGCAACAGGGTGATAAAACAGGATGAAATACAACAACTACTCCTTACCTAGATCACTGCAACAACTATTCGATCCTCCAATTTCTTCAGTCAGCAATTGCTACATCAGCAAGTTATCCCCCTTCCTGCAGCAATTCTTTATTCCCAGTTTGGGAGTATGATTCTCTGATTTCTGCACCCCAGGCTGTTGGGCCATGGACCCTCCTGCCACTCCGCAGTGACACCGTGAATGGCATGGGCTGTTCCCTGTCCTGCCATCTGACTCCTCTGGTCCATCAGCCGCTGCTCCACACTGCTCCAGCCTCCAGCTCCCCCCAGCAATGCCCTTGGTTGAGGATTTACTCTCACAAAGTACTTGTCACCCATCTCCCTCTCTCCCTCTGCAAACCAGCAGAGGAATCCTCCCCTCCTGGGCTGGGGGCTGCTCTCAGCCTTTTGCCCTCAGCCAGCAGGCTAATACAGAACAAATCTGAAAAATGGAGGCTGGTTCAGTCCATTTTGCAAAACCCAGAAACTATCCCAATGCTGCACTATAGAAATATTTAACTAAAGCTTTTCTGGTCAGTAATCTGTTATATCAATACACTGAACATAAGGTCTCAACTTCCACTGAGTTTCAGTATCATGAAATGCAGTCTCTTACTCCAGTTTCCTATATAACACAATATATAGTTGGTGAGATCCAAAGCTGAAAGAGACCAAAATAAACACTAGAGCTGCCTCTCTGCCACGATCATTCTGTCATAGGTTCTAAAACAATGGGGAACAAATCATTTTACTGCTGTTTTCATTCATTACAAAAAAATAACACAGACTGGTGTGATTGAGATACCAGGAATGTTCAAGAAGGGAAAAATACATAACTGTACAGATTGAGATCAGAGCACAAAACAGGAATACTCTGCAGGAATACAGCTCCTAATTGGCCTTCTGTACATTAGTAGCTGCAGACCATCATCAATTCCTGGTGACATAAATAAGGTCAGAGAAAAAATGGTACCACAGATGAGAATGTCATTGCTCATCATTGCTGGGCTTGCTCTTCCTTTCAGGTGTGCCCCTGGTTATTTTGGGAACCCTTTGCTCATTGGAAGCACTTGTAAAAAATGTGACTGCAGTGGCAACTCAGACCCAAACCTGATTTTTGAAGACTGTGATGAAGTGACTGGCCAGTGCCGCAACTGCCTGCGCAACACCACCGGGTTCAAGTGTGAGCAATGCGCTCCAGGTTACTACGGGGATGCCAGATTCACTAAGAACTGCACAGGTACTGTCTATAGTTTAGTTGAGCAGAGCAAAACACAGCACAGCATGGTCTACAGGTGACCTCCCAGAGATCAGAGATGCCTGGATCAGTCACCAGACACTTGTGGCCCTAGGAGGCAGGGGTTGCTCCTAGTCACCTACTTCGCAGAATAATTTGGTTGTCTGTTCGGTTGAATCATCTCATGCACTAGCACTCTT